TGACACGAACTTCGCCGACAAGCGGCGGTCGCTCGGTCGGTATAGTTCGCTTGCGGACTACAGGTCACAGAGTTTGTTTTATTTTTTTTTTGTTCATATATGTGTGGGTGGTATACAAGTCAATGCAATATAGCTGGTACTACCTGCAGACAGGATTGTTAAATTCTTCCGAAGCGTTGAGTTCTCCGAGTTCTTCTGTAGGGCCTGACGTCTAGACCCCCTTCAGTAGTCCATATCATGTCCAAATTACTTTCTAATATAACAAAATTAACTAAATCCGTCATATGCACGTCTCTGACATTAAGGGAGGAGGGTGTCTGAGAACAGGGTGTTGAGGAGAATATTTGGACCGAAGAGGGATGAAGTGACAGGAGGTTGGAGAAAACTGCATAACGAGGAGCTTCATAACTTGTACTCTTAGCCAAATATAATAAGAGTGATCAAATCAAGGAGGGTGAGATTGACAGGGCATGTAGCACGAATGGAGTAGAAGAGAAATTCGTATTGGATATTGGTGGAAAAGCCAGATTGAATGAGTCCGCTAGGATGACCAAGACGTAGGTGGATAATATTACAATGGATCCTAGACAGGATGGGGTGATATGGACTGCACTGATCTGGCTCAGGATATGGACCAGTGGAGGGCTCTTCCATAAAATGATGGAAAGCTCTCGAGTAGCTGCAAATCTGGCGGCTTTTTTAAGAAGGGCTCACCTCCATGAAGTGAGTCAGTCGTTGTTTGAGAGCTCTCACAGGTCTCACAGCTGTCAATACAATGACATCATCGGATGGCAGTTCTTTGTTTACCTCTCGGCAGCAGGAACGGCCTGAGGTGGAAACTATTACCTCTGTTCTCCGGGTGCTGAATACAAATGCGTATGATGAAAGGCGAAGAAATAAAAGACTAAGTTGTGATGTCAGAGTACTGGCCGCAGTTCTTAACATTCTGGTGCGCTTAACAACGACGGCGAGCCATCTGTTCGTCACGGAACGAAGCCCTTGTGCGAATCGTCTACAATTCCTTAATCAAGTCGCCGGCTGGTTTTTGAACCGATTTATCTCCAAACACAATGCTAATTCAGAATTACTGCTTTTTTTTGGACTTCGTCCATCGTCTGGTATTCTAAAAACTTAAGAACACAACGTTTCGGAAACTGGATATGTTTCCTTCCTCAGGTGGGAAACAGATCCAGTTCCCAAAACGTTGTGTTCCCTTGATTTTAGAATGCCGGACGCTGGACAAAGTCCAATAACCCGGCAATGGTGAGTATTATGCACCATCGTCGGAAAACTTGAGAATCCAGAATGCCAACTGTCTCAAGCGAACATCTCCTTAACGTTCTTACATTATCACACAAAATGAAGCTAGAGTAATTTCAGTGGGAGTCAACAGGAAACGATTGCATGGAGTCCTAGAAAGATAAATGTGGCCTTCCTGTATTTTTCCGAATGAAGTCCCACACCGTCCATTGACGAAGGTCAGTTTGGCAGGATTAGTAGGAGCGTACTTTTGTTTATATTGGACTGTATTTAGATTGTAGCGCTTTGTTTGGGTTAAACTAAGGCGCGGTGAACTTTGGTATACCTAGCTAATAGACAGAGTATATCTACAGAGGCAGCAAAGTACTTCCGAGCTTCATTGGGCGTTACAAACAGAAACGTTGCTCGCCTGCCAGCCTTGGAACGGGGAGGGTGCGGAAGACGGCAAAGCGACAGCGCATGCGGAAACATCGCACTCCTTCCATCTTTCCTCTTCCGTGACGTAGCTCAGGCTCGGAGATACTTTGCATCGGGTGTACGTTCAACTGACTTGACGCTTTAGTGATCATAAAATATAGTTATCGTGAACTATTTCTACAAATGTTCTCAATTCTTAATTTCAAAACTTATATTTACAATTCGACAAATCATCATTGCCAGCGAAATGTTGAACAGTATTCTACGTTATGATGCCGTGTAGTTCGGGAAAAGGCCAACATTTCGGAGGAAAACACTGCCTCCATCTTCAGGGTGGAAATGTAATCCAAACAAGAAACCAGTAGAAGCAGGAGGCAAGCNACTTGACGCTTTAGTGATCATAAAATATAGTTACCGTGAACTATTTCTACAAATGTTCTCAATTCTTAATTTCAAAACTTATATTTACAATTCGACAAATCATCATTGCCAGCGAAATGTTGAACAGTATTCTACGTTATGATGCCGTGTAGTTCGGGAAAAGGCCAACATTTCGGAGGAAAACACTGCCTCCATCTTCAGGGTGGAAATGTAATCCAAACAAGAAACCAGTAGAAGCAGGAGGCAAGCCGAGCCTCAGGCCTCAGCCTCAAGCTGAAGCTCAGCTTGTTGCCTGCTTCAGCTGGTTTCTTCCATGGCTCCAGTTTCGACCTTGAAGATGGAAGCGGTATGTTCCTCCAGAAGGTAGGGCTTTCTCAGAACTATAACCTAGAAAACCGTACTATTCAGCCTCGATATTGGGTATGCTGCTCCCTCAGGGGGTGACCATATGGAACAATAAGTGAAGGCAAAATCCAGAAATTGCTGACTGTGATAAACACCTTACCTTGAAAAGGAGATCCTTAGTGCCATCAAAGTCCCCGAACAGTCTGAAGAGGTCCGGTCGCTTGCTGTAGAGTTTCCCAGCAGAGAGGATGGCGTCACGAATTTCGTTAAGTGCTATTTCTGACTTCTCATTGCTCGTTACCACCTAGTAACAGGACATATCGCAGTACTGTAACGATACTACAGAGGACATGATTTGTAGCTGCAAAAGATTTTGCCGTTTTTCACACTTTGGAAGGATTCTCGAAATTGATCAGGCTTACTGCTGTGCTTTGTTGTGATGATGTAACTTCCGGTTTCTGAGCTATTAGTTTTCTTATTCTAAACCCCTACTATGGCCCGGCCGTGCAACTCTTGTCCGCTTGATTTACAACATATTGCAGGTAATGTCCGCGTAAACGAAGTGTCACATAAAGGGTACATTGCTTTTCCCCAACCAAACTCCGTGGTTATAGTCCGCAAGCGAACTATACAGACCGAGCGACCACTGCTTGTCGGCGAAGTTAGTGCCAACGTTAGCGGATAGAGAGTGTCGCGTGGTCAGCGCAACGAATCCCCACGGCCATTAAATTCTGTTTTCTAGACCGGAGCCGCTATTTCCTTGAAACAGTTCCTCAATTATCCTCACGAGGCTGAGTTGACCCCGTTCCAGATTCACTACTTCTCAGAAAATCTGGTAGCGCCGGGAATCGAATCCGGACCTCTGAATCCGTAACCAGGAACTATGGTCACTGACCACAAAGGCGGTCTTTCCCGAATAACAAGAACTACGAATTCACTGAGATTGCAGCGGATGCAAGAAAGCAGGGCCGAAAGTTGTAAAAAGATCACTGACAGGCGACGCGGCCTGGTAACGCGATATCACGTACATGTGGTTCGCTGTTGTGAGCAAATGATGTAGCCTAACATAATCCGCCTCTCAGTAAGTGAACTGCGTCTAAATCTGCCATGTTGGGTGAGCTTGTCTCTCCGTCAGACTGCGGATGAACGACACAGGGTTACGCATGATGGCTACAACTACATCAAACAGCAGTTACGGATAGCCGATAAGGCCCCCATACACACACAGTTTGGCCTCCAGTTCGGCCTGCACAGTTGAAGACCGAAAGGCAAAACTGTGTGTGTGGTGCGGCCGGCCGGCCAATCGTTTGGACTGTTGGCATGTGGGAAACCCGTCAGTCCGTCAGTTCTGCCTGTAGGACCGTAGCACGTGACGTGTGTGACTCAACATTATAGGCTGGAAGACCGTGATTGTGGCATGAAGCCTGCCGCTTTATCTGCGCGAGTATGGGGAGGAAAGGGAGGGGATAAACTGTCACAGTTTTGCCTGTAAGGACGATCGGAAGGCCAAACTGTGTGTGTATGGGGGCCTAAGGGGTCATCTAACTTGGAGTTTGAGCGGGGATATGTTGCAAGATGTTAAAGGGACTTCGGACTTGGACGGATTCCTTGGAATGATACAAGCAACTGAATGAGAAATGCGTAAAAATGCTGAGCCGAGACCCGAAGTGAAGGGCCCACTTGGGAATATTAAATTGTTTGCGAGATGTGACCTGGATTCATCTGAGGATACAGCCCTGTGCTGACCTCTCATTAATACACTAATTACAAAGAGTACAATAATCTGGATAGCATAACAACTTGCCGCTTGCCTGTTGCTAGTTTGGCTTACACTTTGATCCTGAATATTGAGATGTATGTTTCTCTGAAACACCAGACAACTTCTACCAGACTATACCACGTCATATCCCAGAATATAAGTACTCTTCATAGTTACCGTAGTGGCGAAATTTCAGACAGTAATTACAATTGAGGAGGGCACGCGGTAGCGTAATTGCTTGAGGCACTATGATACAAGCCGGAAGGTCGCGAGTTCGATTCCTGATGAGCCCATTATATTTTTCAGTTGACCTAATCCTTCCAACCGCGCTATGGCCCTAAGGTCGACTCAGCCTCTAACAGAAATGAGTAACAGAAATCTTCCTGGGGGTAAAGGGCGGCTGCCGCGTAAGGCTGACAACCTCACCGCCATCTGTGAGCCAATTGCCTAGAAAATGTGGGAGCCTCGATGTCTCACAACCATATGGGTCTTCACGACCTATTACAGATTCCATTTTTTTTTAATTACGCTTGGGGTTCAAGTAAGGCAAGGAATTTCTTCCCTTGCTTAGCTACTATTAGCTTCTCAGGAGAGATACTTGTTCATACAGTTAGCCCATAAATGGAAGGCTATCTTAAAGAATGTTCAAATTATTTCTGGAACTCAACACTTCACGCAGTTACCACGAAACGGCAGCACAGCTTCACGTACCGATAGAGGCAGCCTCAAAGAGCCCCAAAAAACAAGTAACATAACCAACATAACAACATTGTAACATAAGTCTAACATTAAGGGGACTCATACTCCAGACGTTGTAAGGTTGAAGATTTTACACATACGAATTGTTAAATTTCCTTTTAATAAGGTATGTATATTTCTTGATGATGGTCTCATAAGACCCAAAAATTTCGGGGCCTCTGTAACACACAGTGTGCATCTGCACTAAATGAGATACACTGTACTTATCCTTCCTGTCGGCACTCACCATGTGCGGGGGCACCTCTGCCAGGTGACACTGGCTATACTGGTCGACGGGAGCTCGCCGTCCATCAGGACACAGGAGCTCGAAGTCCTCAGATCTCAGATTTACAGCCCAGGAGGCGCTGTTACGGCCGTCTGCAAGCAAAGCAACATATCTTGAGTGCACCGCCTTTCCGTCACTGATGACCGACCTTCTCAAGGCCGACAATCGCGCCTCAGTTATTTTAAGCTAGTAGAGAACAGCTGCTTTACCTACCAGACCTCCAGATTGACGCTAGTATCAATAAACAGTTCAGGAATATCGTTAAGGAAGAAATAATATTATTCACACCTCCTGTCACAGTAAGTTTAAACACTAAACAACATGTCCAAATGCTTATGACCATGTCTGTTTAGGATACGACCCCAATGATCTAAAATGCATTTTATTTACCGAGGGAAAATCTAAATGGTACGCAACTTCCATGGGCTTTCTCCTGATATAATATACGTCAAGGTTTTGGAAACACGGAATTTATTTAAAATATACATTAAAACTAAATAAATATGCCTTAAGATAAGCCCCTCCAACCTTAGCCAAAAAGTACAACAGTACTTGCTTCAGATAACTCGACTATCTTGATTTCATGCCAATATTTTCGCTAAACGCATTAATGAAACAGACCTACAAGCATCTATGCTTTTTGTGAGTGAGTGCATATGCGTCCCTTCAATAATACTTGACAGACTGACCGATACTGACGAAACTACGGCTGCAGACGAACATTCTGTACAAAACTCCCTTGCTCAACACTTCCAACAGTTGATCCGAGAGAGAGCGAGAGAACGTTCCGCGCCTGTACACGGCATGTACCGACCTACCGCATTTTTCATGGAGCACGCGGCAGCCTAGTTGGTTGAGGCACTATGCTACAAGTCTGAAGATCGCGGGTTCGAGTCCCGATGTGGATTTTTTCAATTGACATAATCCTTCCAGCCGCACTATGGCCCTAGAGGGTAAAGGGCGACCGGCGCGTAAGGATGACAACCTCACCGCCATCTATGAGCCGATTGTCTAGAGAAAATGTGGGAGCCTCGACATCTCACAACCCTACGGGCTTCCACGACCTGTTTACAGGGATTTTTTTTTTTTTGCCTTTTGCTGTATTATTCATTACAAAATATTGTGCGTTCACATTTATCGTTTACGTTCATCGGACGTGGGATAATGATTTCAGAACGCAGAGAAAATGGAACTCTTTGCCTTATAATTCAAGCTCTGACATAATTCACTTGCAGACTTTATGCGTCGAGCCTGCTTTTAAGGACCTGAATATTTTGGGTGCATCTCAGTACACAGATAAAGACAGGAAATAAGAACTTCGAGCTGTCCATTAAACATGCATTATATAATATGAAATATTCGCATAAAAGCAGAAAATTGCTAGTATAATGGCATCTGTTATCTGATCGTTATCGAAAGGCCATCTATTTGACATCCGCTACATTTAACAACAAACTGCGTACACCGAGATAACAATAAGGTGTCGTATGTAAAAGAAACTCGCGTATTTAATGTCAAATTGGCTTATTTTCTCGTCTTTTGTGTAATGTTCTCTACTGTCGTCTTGCCATGGATTAATCAATGAGTGATATTTATTTATCGACGCAAATTTTAAGATTGCTTGGGCCTCACCTGTGTTTTCTGAAACGGTTGTGTGCTTCACGAAGGCAACATCACCGGAACCAGAAGCCAAGCACCGGAAGGCTCCGGTGTAGCCGAAGTAAGACTCGTTGTTGCTGGCAGAGCATCGCAAAGCTTGCGCCGTGGCGCTATCTGCGAACAAATACAATACACTACCAGCTGTTCACACACGCCTCACGATTCAGACATTGGTCTACGTTCTACACCTTAAGACATGTAACACTTCTGAACATTTGTGGTCAAAATTCCCCACTGTTACAGTGCTAACAGTGAAGACCTTACGGTAATGGATGGAGACGGCATATTCCTTCGAAACGTCGGTATTACTATACGGTGTCACAACCTAGAAACCACAATCTGAATTGTTTTGACCACTCTCCATTATATTCAGTTGATTTATCTCAGTGCTCTTCCTTTTTGTTGCATATAGACACAACTGTGAATGTGAAATGAAAACGGGGAAAAACGGTGTTTCATTACGTGCTACAGTTAATGTATATCTATGGTGCATGGAAAAGACAGTTAAGTCACTAAACGTAAGTTTTCAAGAGGAGGAGGAGGCTGAGGAGGAAGCGGTAGCGTAGTTGGTTGAGGTACTATGCTAGAAGCCATAAGGTCGCGTGTTCGAATCCCGAAGTCATTGGATTTTTTCAGTTTACCTCATCCTTCCAGCCGCACTATTGCCCTGGGGTCGAGTCAGCCTCTAACACAAATGAGTACCAGGAATCTTCCTAAGGGGTAAAGGGCGGCCGGCACGTAAGGCTGACCTCACCTCTATCTGTGAACCAACTTCTGGAAAATGTGGGAGCCTCGACGTGTCACAACCCTATGGGCCTCCATGGCCTGTTACAGGAAGAATTTTACCTTTCTTTTTAAGTTTTACTGGATTAAACTAGCTCAGGAGAGTACTTAATAGCGGACTCGTGTGAACATGGTGGAACCAAATAAGTTGACCCAAATTGAAACGATTATGAACTGTATTCGGGAAGTGCCCAGTTTGAATCTCGGCCGGAACACCCTGACGTCATGGTTCTTCTTAGTCCCTCCGGGGAAATGTGGGGTTGGTATCTTCATTTAGGGCAATACCGACTAGTTCTACGTCCTTTCTAATTTATTCAGTTCTCATCCTACCATATGAAGCTACACAGAATTTGGGATATTAACATCATCGTTAAATAAACCACAAAATAAATTAAAATAACCATAGTAATGTATTTCGGGATTCTATAGAAGCAGAAAATTTCACTATCAGCTAAACAACTATCAGACTTTAAAGTAAGATCATGCACCATGACAGTCAGTCTAGCCGATTACAAAAACGAATCATCTGGTCACGTGTCAGCCGTTACCTGAAGAGTCCAAGTTCCCAGCACAGATACTGCAGAGGAGCTCCGGGTTGTCCTCAGTGGGGTTGTTCTCCGGGGCTAGAGCACCAGGCACGCAGCTGCCGCCCGAGAAGAATTCAGAAAGCGCCCTGGAATATGGGCAGCTGTTCCTGCTGATGAGCCCCTTGTGAAGCAGCGTGTACAGGGGCACATTCCAGCCTGCCATTAACGCAATTCAAATTTACATCGGACGTTTCGGATTTCACAGTCACTAATCATGCCTTAATGTTGACACCTTTACGCTTTCAATAACTCAATATACAAATTGCAAGGTTCACAGCTACCATATAATAAATTAATTGCCATCATTGTCACTAGTTTGAGCGTGATTATAGACTTGGTTTGGTTTGGTAATTGGATTTATTGACCATTTAACAGATCGTAACTACATGTAATTATAAAGTTATCGCTAATCTCGACACTTTACAAATCCCTACAGCACAGGCTAAGCTCTCTCAGTCTGCATCCACTAGTCATTTCCCGGTAACGGATCTTAACAATGGAGATTTTTCAGCTTCTGCACTCACATCGTTACCGTCCTGCGAATGTCCCACAGCTGCACTGTTGTTCCAAATAAATCCCAGACCTCCTAGTTTTCGCTTCACAGACTGACTCATAAATGGCTACTGCTCGACTGGTGTCCTCACTATATAACCCCTTTGCACGGACCGCGTAGAAAGCACCGTTTCCTCTTCCTCTATTGCTTCGCGTGAACTCGCTGCCGTGGGAACCAGTCTGTTTCGCGGCCGCTACCTAGCAACGGGTCTACACGCTACATTATCTAGAATTCGATCCACCATTCAATTCACAGATTATTGAAAGTGTTAAGTAATCGTTGGTCACAAGAATGAAAATAGAAAACTAGTTTAAATGTAGCTGCTGTAGCTTAACTGTAGTTATTATTAAAATATCTTTCTTCCTCTGCTTATAAAAGTTATGCGGATATCTTAGGATCATTAAAGGTTTAAAAACACNACAAGAAGAGCGACTGGATGAAAACTTAATGTAAACTCTCTCCTTCTTCAAGTAGAACTCAGAAGAGAGGAAGTAGGGGTGGATCTACAAGGCACTTTATATAAAGCCATTCTCCATTATTAGTCGTACAAGCAAAGGGAGGCAGAATCAGTCGCCATCACACTGTGCCTTCTTTACAATTTTTAAACACAGACAAGAAATAACGTCGGCAGAAAAGGTCCTCATAACTACGTCAAAGTCCCTGTTATAATCTCTTTAACAACACAACGTGCAGAGTAAAGGGCATGACATTATTAGTTATGTAGGTTTTGCTGTCCGGATGTTGTCCCTACTCTGACATCTCGTTTCACTTACCAGCCGTCCGTCCATACCCTGTATGACATGACTTGGCCCCTCGGAGATCGTCAATGGATTGGTAAGTAGAGGACTTCTTCACTACTGCCACGGCATAGTACAAGGCCCCGTGTTCGCCATATTGCTCAGCAATTATGGGCCTCAGGTTATACTCCCTGAAAGCAAATATCCACACTTAACTAACCAATAGCTTACTTCGTGTGTAAGAAGCCTTCCTGGAAAATTTAATATTTACTCAGGGGGTCAATAAATTGACATTTTAATGAAATCCGGTATTACAGGGAGGTTCTTACTTTCATTAACCGCTTCACGGCTCTGCGCTTCACGCCGATCAGTGCACCGCCTGCTGCAAGGCGCACACGAATTCTGCCGATGAATCAGCATGCCTGAAGGCCGATAACGTTTGGAATTAAGGGAAGTTATTAACTTTGTGCAAGAATGATTGTTGGACCCTTTTTTTTACGAAAAAATTAACTGCGAAAGATATGTACAGGTGATTTTTGGGTATCTCTTTCTAGAGAAAACAGAAGCAGAAAGACTCTGCGGCTGGTTTCAGTAAGACTCAGCTACTGCAGGCTCTGTCCACATCTTCGGGTACAGAATTATCAGCAATTGTACGAGTACTTGGCCAGCAGGTTCGTCCCACCTCAATCCTTCTGGCGTTTTCTCTGGGGTTGTCTGATGGACAAAGTTTACAACATTAACCCCAACGGAAGAAATAAAGCAAAATATTCCCGCAGAACAGCTTCCAAGAGCAAATCAGACCCTCTTCTGCCGGTGCCAGGAATGTTTACTTGTAGAGCGACAGTATTTTCAGCACCTCATGTGATCTGTGAATTGTAACTGCTTCATTCCGAAAGTCATCGACCAACAGGAATATTGAGTCATCGGAAAAAATTTGTATGCGCCTCGCAGCCGGCGCTGCACCTGTCGCCGCGAACCGGTCAACAAATATGAGAACTTTCCTGTACATTACCATACCCATCAGACAGGTAACATAGTCACGTCAATCAAGTCCAGAACTTCACACATGTCTCCGAGATTAATTTTAATACGATCCTCGCCTTTACGCCTAGATCTTCCAAGTAATGCATTCACTTGGATTTATGCAAAATAATGTTTGAATCCATTCTTATTCCCCTGTGCCTGCTAAATGTTCTATCTCATCAATCTTGCTTCTATTATCCTAATATAACGTAAACATCAGAAAATGAAGTTCCTCATTGTGTATTTTTAAAGTGCTGCCCGAATTATTTAATTATTCTCCATCTACACCTATAACAACAGCTTCTTCATACATTCATTGTCAGCTCAGAAAGCACGAATATGTACAATTTACTCTCATGGGAGAGCTGTTAACGTCTCAATTTCTACAGAATGCAGACATCTGTGTAAGCCAAGGCATTAAGCGGTGTACCTTAACCACCAGACTGTTAACATATTATAAACAAATATGTTACAACGCTCTGTCGTAGATAGATGTGTTCAATCTGATCATATTTTGTTAATACACCCACGTCTGGAAACGCTTTGTTTATGCACTAGGGCCTCTGAAATGTGAAGGAGAACGCCCTCACCTCTTACCTCTGTGGCTTACTGGTGATATTTACCTAACATTTCTCCAAGAGCCCTTACCAGAGTTGCTGTAAGTGGTGCCTTTGGAAGTCCGTTGTGAATGTCGTTCCAACATGATGGCGCCCCAGCACTCTGCACTAATGTCGTCCGTGAGTATTTGGATGAAAGTTTTGGCAACAGAGGGATTTGGACGTGGAGGCCCAATAACCTGGTCCCCTCGCTCCTCTGACTTGACTCCACTGGATTTCTTTCTCTAGGGGTACATGCAAAGCCTGGTGTACGAGACTCCAATGGAGACACAATGTGATCTTGTGGCAAGAATTGCAGTAGCAGCTGGAACCTTCCGGGAAATGCCGGGAATGTTTCAAAGAGTCCAGCATAACATAGCCAGGAGGTGCAGAACATCAATGAAGTTGGCGGCCGCCATTTTGAGCAACTTTTATAATGTAAAAAAAAAAAACGATAACATCCCCTAAAACGTAAGCATTCTCTCGGAAACTTTTGTGACCCTTAGTGCCAAAGGAAGCGTTTCCGGACATGGGTGTATTAACAAAATATGATCGGATTGAACCAATCTATCTACCGCAGTGTTGTAATATATATTTATTTACACTCTGTATATACACAGCGTAATCAAACAGTAAATTTCTCGTCTGTCTTCTAAAGCCGTCATAAGGAAACAATTGAATGAGCTTTAATAACGGACACTCACCTCTGGGCTGTAGACACTTCCCCGCCGTCCAGCGTGATGACGTCGGCACCGTCGTCACGCACCGTCTTCAGACAGTCGTGTAGCGTCGTCTCCTGGACGCAGTCGAAGGCGGGCCGGATGTCGCGAGAGAAGGCGGCCTGCTTTAGAATCCTGCACTTGGCGAGCTCAGTGCTAGACGTGACGCAGAAACGGACGGGGCGCTGTGGGGCGCCACTGTCGCGCTCTATCACGTCCGTGTAGTTGGCTGCAATGGGATAACAGTTTTGTGCTTGTAGTCGTGCATTTGTTTGTCCTCGCTGCCTAATGGGCTGAGTGTGAACGGAAGTTCATGGAGGTAGGCCTAGGCCCACTGGGGCTGTAGTGCCAAGGAAAAAAAAGGGCTGATTAAGTGAAGCTTAATCAACAATTTGGTGTAACATGTGGTGGGCAGCCATGTTTGAGTAACACCGCACGTCTTCGGCCACGATTCCTGCATATGCGCAATACACGGTCTTCAGCTTCTGACGCTGCGAACGTTTAAATTTCTCGGCTACTGAGCTGGCTTAGTCGGCACGGCGGCGTCATATAAAGTAAACTCTGCGTATTTCAAGCCTTTAATGACATTTCACTTAATGATAAATGGACTAGTACAGTCTGTGCTTTATATTGAACTGATATCGGAACACCATGGCTGGTGCAAAGAAATGGCACTTGACATAAAATGAAAACCATATGAGTATGCTTACCTCGATACTGTGAATATTCAACAAAATTGATGCGAAAATAATTCCGTGTCTTTTAAGCCAATTTTTCACTTCTGAACATTTAAGCAACACATTTATTCCGAAAATAATGATCAAAAAATAGGTGCTGCAGTGAATAGAAGTACTTGAAGCTTCACAATTTGAATTATTCACCAAATTAATAATTGGATGAATAAATCAAGGATGAGATTGGCGGGACATGTACAACGCGTGGCAAAATGTACAGCTGTCCCTGTGTTTAACTAATTTATATGTATGGGCGAGTTGATGTATAGAGATCCACATTTCCTTCACCTCGGCACTACTTGGAGGCTAGTGGTCAGCTTCACGCTCCCGACACTTTACCCCAGAGGAAAGAGCCCCCGGTATCCACTGGATAGGAGGCTGGGTGGTCCCGAGAGTCGATCTAGACGAGGTGGAGAGGAAGGAATTCTTGACCCTACCAGGACTTGAACTCGGACTCCTCGGTCGTCCAGCCCGTAGCCAGTCCCTGTACCGATTGCGCTATCCGGTTAGAAACCCTGCCAGCGAACAGTCTTTTATGGAGCCCGGAAACACACTACAGTCATCACAAGAGTGCGTTACTTAATTTTATCAGTAAGATAGCCTCACATCCCTTCAGTTCATGCTATAGGCATGCAAGTCTGTTCCGAGCTTTGTAAACTACGAATGAGTGTTCCACTAGCATACCCTGTTTCCTTCAAGACCCAGTTCGATGCTGTTCTGTCAACTACGCCTACACACTCAAGGGCATTCCCAACAGAAGTTCTGTGTACTCCAGGATCTTACCCTTGTTGAGGTAGTCCTGAGGAGAATAAGGTCCCTGGTTGTCGACTGCCACAGTCTTATTGTTGAGGTCCAACACCTTGCTCAGCCAGTCTGCCTTCTCGTTTTCTCCAATGTTGTTGGCCAGGGAGATCTGCGCGCGCAGGTCAGGCACATCGCTGTGAAGACGCCAAGAGTCAGGGTAACAACACACCAGCAGATACTAAATTCCTTATCGCTGGCCGACTTGAATCAGATTGAAGGTTTCAAGATGACCCCACATAGTGCACTAGCATACACCAAAGTGTTTGTAGCATCTGTGCTTCTCACAGCCGTGGATATGAAGAGTTCTATGTTCTCGGATATAACGTCATAGTCTGTTGGAAGTGAACAAACCTTCGTGAAAGCGTAGCCTTCATCTTCAGGGTCGAAGAATAAACCAAGAGAGAAACCAGCATGAGTTAGATCATGTGGGATTTGTGGTGGACAAAGTGGCACTGGAGCAGGCTTTCTCCGAGTANAAGTCTTTCGGAAAAGTCGATTGATTTTCAGCGGACTGCATGGCGTTACATCCCAGGAGACAGAACCCTTCATCAGTGTGTTTGTTGTTGTTTTGCCTAAGTCAGATTCAATAAGCAACCAAATTAATTCCATGGTGTGAACCCTTCTTCAGAAATGACAGTCGCTCATCTTGTCAAATATTCCTCGTCTTTTAAGGAAATGAATGGGAACCAATTGAGCCAGTTAAATCCGGTTAATGACGTTCAACCCCGTTCATTTAAGCGTCCACCTTAATATTAACCTTCCCATCTATGTCAACATCTAGCATGTGGTGTGTTGCCTTGCCTTTCCGAGCTAATCTCCTGTACGTATTCCTTTCCCATCTGTGAGCACGGTTACCATTCATTCTAACATGAAGACACTTCCAAATTCTCTAAAGTAATATCTCTTACCTGCCCAGATCACCATTAGCTATGTAACCCTGCCAAGGGCGGGCAGCCCAAATGCACGGTTTGCCTGTTATAGGTTTCTTGGTCGCATCAGGGCAGAGGAAAGCGAAGTTGTTGGGGTCCTCACCAGTGGGCACTGCCTGTCCGGCTCCGATCGGCAGCTGATAAACACCATTGAAAATTTTAAATTGAAATTTTCCACAATTAATTAAAATTCTGTTGTGTCATACATTAGCGTTAACGGGGTTCTCTACACAAAACTAATATCCATAAACTTAAACAAAATAGGTCCCAATGTATCAACATTCAATAGTTCATTCAGAAACTAAGGCCGTATTCTTATAGATTCGCCTGATTATGACCTCGTGAAGGTCGAAATATGTAGGGAAACTCATTTGCCCAATAAACGAATTAATAAAGCACTATACCATTAAAGAGGCGGGATAGCTCAGTAGGTATAGCGACTGGCTACGGGCTGGAGTTCTAGTCCCGGTAGGGTCAAGAATTTTCTCTTCTCCACGTAATTCACACCGGCTCTGGGGCCCACCCAGTCTCCTATCCATTGGGAACCGGACGCTCTTTCCCCTAGGGGAAAGTGCCTACAGTATCCGTTGGATAGGAGGCTGGGTGGGCCCCAGAGCCCGTATGGACGCTGTGGGTGGAGTACAGAAATAAACTCTCTTGCTCATGCCAGGAATCAAACCCCGGCCGTCCAGCCCGTAACCCGTCGCTATACTGACTGAGCTATCCCAGCTCACCATAACCACTGAGAAGAGTCAAGAAACACAAGTGACAAAGTCCACGGCATAAATACGAATAAGATTAACAAGAAGTAAAAGCTGTCGCTATTGGTATGGTGACTTTCAGGATTCCAAAATGTCTTACAATATAGGCCACTACGGCTCGTGCTAACAAAACTGTAAAACTGTTTCCCCAAGCCAACATACAGATTTCAGGTACAATGTTTCCTCAGTGAATATCACACCACAATATTTCGCACGGTCGCAATGTCGTCACTTTGCGAGTATATTTTTCCTGAAATAAATACAAAACTTCGCTCTCTCTCTCGATATCTTATCGCCATACTCAACCTCAAGATTCAACTTAAAGTGGTGGCACTTTTGTTTTCAACTGAAAAGTACTCTAGGCGGCCATGTTCGTATTGGTGATTGACGGGAAGTTGAAAGGTATAAGAATGAAGGGTTTCCAAGGGTTAGACAATATAGGCCTTACTCTTTCCCAGTGCTGCTAAAATTCGTATATTCATGTTTACACCATTGAAAATTTCTGTTTGGTCCCACAGGACATTGCGGTGGCGCTGGCAACATTCAAGGGCGATTCTGGTTCATGAACCAGACATCAAATAGATATACAGACCACACGAGCAAGCTAATTTATTTTAGTCCTTAGGAACCCAACACATCAACTTTCATCAGATTAAAGGTAACAGGCCGTGAAGGCCCATAGGTTTGTGAGACGTTGATGTTCCCACATTTTCTAGAAAATCAGCTCACAGATGACGGTAAAGTTGTCAGCCTTACGCGCCGGCCGGCCTTTATCCCCCAGGAAGATTCCTGGTACTTATTTCTATTAGAGGCTGAATCAACCTCAGGGCCATAGTGCGGCTGCAAGGATTAGGTAAATTAAAAAATCCAAAGACCTCATCGGGATTCTAACCCGAGGCCTTCCGACTTGTAGCATAGTGACTCAACCAACTACGCTACCGCGTGCCCCCTCTTTCATCAGATTTAATAAAATTATTACAATACCTGGGTGCTCATAAGCAATTTGTAATGCGCTGGACACATACCCCGAAATGCTTCTTGACGTAGTACACCTTGGTCCAGGCAACATCTCCACCGTGTTCGGAGAGGCATCTGAGAGCGCCGTCGTACCCTGAATAGTAGTCCGGATAGTCGCATACATCCGGGTGCTCACAGAGGGCGCACAGATTTGAATACCGGACCTCTGCAAGCAGAAAATCGTACACACACACAGTAGAATCGACCGAGCGGTAAGGCTAGACTCACATTCGGGAGGTGATAGGTTCCAATATCGACCGATACACCGCTCTATCCTGTCTGAAGGGTTTATTGGTTTTCCTCAGTCCCTCCAGGCAAATGCCGAGTTACAGCTGCCTTCCGGCTATTGACAGCGTCGCAAAATAAAGCAATAAACGTGGAATTGATACGCATGCGCTCTGTAACGTGTTCAGCGAAAGTGCATCTACGTAGATTATGGGTTCGTGATTTCGTATTCCGTTATTTTATTTCGAAGTCAAAATGCAGTTAAATCTCTTTTGAAGCCCGTTCATAAATTAAATATAGTTGACTTTGCATGCTACCGACATCTAATGACGAAGAATGGAGGTACTGTCGCGTTTCTTGTACCGATTGTGCAGCAAAGCTGTCCGTGGCGCCACTCAGTAGTAGCAGATCGAAGTATTACGTTCTACTACTCAAACCCGAGGCAAAAGTCGTGTAAGATTAACATTTCGAGAGATTGCTCTTGTCGTTGTTTCGCATTATAATCATCAATGACTCTACAGCCCTTTGTTGGTCCCTTGCCACTTCTTCAGTTTCGTAATCTTTTTTATACGGACTTCCTGGACGAGTGATCAGCCCGTTTCAAGGCCGCTACCTACACACAGGACAAGACAAACGCAGAATAAATGCACACACGAACATCCATGCCTTGAGTGGGATTCGAATCCACGATCCCAGAGTTAGAGCAAGCGAATATACCCCATTCCTTAGACCGCGCGGCCACTGTGATCGCCTGTTTCACGTTACACACACACAAAATTAACTTAAACAGTTTTCAGGATGTCCAGTACCATATCGAATTACAGGGTCCTATTCCAAGTGATAATGTTAAAGAGGAGACTTAGGCCTAATTATTTCTTTATAAACAATAAAGGTAAGGCTGTCCCTGTACTTACTATGCTGCAAGTAGGGCTCTGCTCGCTCTGAAGACGGATGAAATATATTTCTCCGAAACCTCGACAAACTTCTACAAAAACTACATGGCATCATATCCCAGAAAACAGTATGATTCTTATTAATATCCGTGAGGTTAATAATCGAAAAGAAAATTAAAGAAATTAAATTATTTCTGGCATGATATTTTAAGGAAATAACTCTCAAAATACGTAGTGCCCTTGGTACCGTAATTAACGAAAGAGTTTGTGTCAGAATTTTGACTGTCGTTGAAAGAGTGGGGGAGATTCTGGCCAGAGCTAGAGCAATATACATGGCTTGTCGTGTGCATGTTAGCCTGTAGTGAAAATTCATTACACATGAAGAACTAATTTCTTTATTCTGTGACCAGCCTTGTGCCGGGTAGAACATGAAGCCCCTAACTTAACGCCAAGGATGTGATAATGTGCTGCCTGATCAGGGCTACAGTGGTGGTATGGTGATTGGCAAGGGAAAATCAAAGAAACTGGGTGAAAATCCTGCTTGTATCACTTCATATACCACCAATCTCACATGGAATCTTCACGAATTGAAACAGAGGTCCCGTGGTCGGAAGGCAGAGCCTGAGCTACAAACATACTCGTATAACAGAGGGAAACGTTTTAATTTTCCTAAGGCATTAATGCGGAAATTTGTTAAGTGAACGTTAGATACAAAAGGTGTTAATGTAAACATTTAGGGGATTAATAGTGTACAACTCACTAAGTGCTTGGTTCTGGACTGGATCTGCGGACCAACTGCCGACGAGGCAGGCCTGGCTGAACAACTCAGACAGGGCACGAAGCTCGTTCTCACGCGGAGTTAGATCAGGATTGTTGAGAGAAGTCAGAATTCCCAGCTTCCTGAGCTGCGGAATAAAAACCAGGAACAAATGATCTCAATAGCAACTGGAAAACATCCACTTGCAAGACAAAGAAGAGGAAGGTGGGAGGCCAACATTAAGATGGAACTAAGGGAAGCTGGTTAGAGCAAGCGCAAGGTCCGCGTGAAATGGCGGGTTTTGGGACTATTTGGTTTGAACATTCGGGTTCTGATATATAGGGCGACGTCTTCAAAATGGTTGCATTTTAGGACTAAATTAAATTCATTTCAATCCTAATGAGTCTTCATTACGTCCTGCTCACCTTGGTGATGGGAATTTTGTATCCCACATTCCTGCCGACTCCGGTATGACAAGACTTCAGTCCCCTCAGACCCTGCAGACTGCTGATGGACAGGTTGTTATGAACGACGGCTACAGCTTCGTAACGGAACTCCTCTGAAAGAAATATCATATCAATAATATTGGTACAGACCACCTCTGTTGTCTAGTGGTCAGAGTTCCTGGCTACAGATCCAGAGGTCCGGATTCGATTCCCGCCGCTACCAGATTTTCTGAGAAGTAGTGGGTCTGGAACGGGGTCCCCTCAGTCTCGTGAGGATAATTGAGGAACTATTTCAAGGAAATAGCGGCTCCGGTCTAGAAACCCGAGATTAACGGCCGTAGGGATTCGTTGCGCTGAACACGCGACACCTTCCATCCGCTAAAGTTGGCACTAACTTCGCCGACATACGGCGGTCGCTCGGTCGGTATAGTTCGCTTGCGGTCAAAAACCACACAGATCATTTTTGTTTTGTTTTTTTATCTTTATGTTGTGCGTGTCTCTCTGTGCCTGTGACCCCCATCCCATATGTATCAACTTTTGAATACCTGAAACTTGGTATATCCTAACAAATGAGCCCGTCTCAACGGCGTACTTCGTAAATCCCTCCTATCAGTCTGTGTGTCTATATATGCATCCTACCTATCGTTGCTAGGCACAGCAACGATCCCTCATCCCTCATTTCATTGCTAGGCAACGGCTCGGTAACGACGTTCCTGCGGCGATGAAGGTTTGTTGGAGGCGTCGTTTTCTATTGGGTCCGTATCGTATATCAAAGAAAAATAGGCGATTAATTCTTCCAAGAACTTCTTATCATTTTCATAAAATTTACAGGATATATTATGTCTAGGCAAGAATGAGAAATCAAAGGGCCTATTCCAGATTTTGATGTACAGATTTTCCTAATGCTTTTTTGTGAATTTACTTATCTCAACGTTCGTGATTATTTAGTGTAGACAAAGATATTCTTCCAAAGCTAATAAACGACAGAGATATGCCACCGACCAAACGAACAGACTGGCCTAGCACTAAATGCTTTAGGCTTGTATTTGGTTCGGGGGGGGGGGTTACGTTGGAACCTCGATAGAGAGACAGATTATCCAGACTGAGGTCTGTCGTCTTTCTCCTCAGTCGCTCTAGGCAAATTCCGCAACAGTACCTCGATTTGACCATGATAGTTTCTTCCAAGTCCTTTGCAATGCATCACTCATCGGTCATCATATACCTTAACAGCTGTTTAGACCACATATTGACAGCCCCACAAAATAGCCCAGCACAGACGCATAATGAAATTTTATTTACTTTCTTCTATTATACTGCGACATTTTATTCGATGAATCGTTTCAATTGAACAAGAGTGGAGATACTAATATGAAACGTCATGAAAATTATAAAACTATATCAACTTCATGGATTAGGCCATGTTCGGTCTGTTCTGTCCTCTTGAAGAGGTTTTAGTCCTTCCGTTTATTGAAATATTATGCAAATATGACAGATCACATTTCACACTGAGCCGTGCTCAATCTACCCTCCTTGTGAAGCACGTGGCGCATCCGCAGCTGCTGCAGAGGACTTTTCAAACAAGCTTACAAGTGTGTCAAGTTGGAAAGTGATAGAAACTGGAGGACTTGCAATCTTTCACTGTTAATGAATACATACGTTTTGTTTGGCATACGGAAAAAATATTTAAAATTTACAACAGTGATGGTTTAACAAAAGAACTAGGACGTAAAGAAGAAGGCGATGAATTTTTCGGACGGTTCCGGTATGAGACTAAGGCCTTAGAAGGCAACAGGGCTAAGAGCGCAACTGAATGATATTTACATATTTATTTGAGTTATCTTAACATAATTTCGTAGAGAGGAAACTTGGAAGGAGACACTAGAAACAGCGAGCAGATATGAGATACACGAAAAGGATGAGCCAAAACAACGCAATAGAACAAGCACTCTGTGTGACCACGCATGTTAAACTCGCGCCGTAGTAATTTTCACGTATTTACACCGGAGGCAGCTACACGTTCGAAACTGCGCTGTCTGAAGGATAAAAGAAAAACCTAATTCACTGTTTTAACATAGAAAGAAAGGAACGAGGTGGGGTGTGAAGGAAAGAAAGAAACGCTTTTCCGTTGGCCGCGCCATAGCTCAAGCGTTTAGTCGCTGACTTCCCACCGCGGCGGTTTTCGATCCCGGGTCTGGTCAAGTGGGATTTGTGGTGGACAAATTGGCGCTGGGGCGGGTTTTCTCCGAGTACTTCGGTTTCCCTTGTCAATCTTCATTCCACCAAATTCCCCGTCATCATAATCACCCGGGGCAGGTAAAATAGGCCAATCAGTGGCCGCCGTGCCAAGTGGACCCAGCTGAAATTAACCCCCCACTAACGAATTAAAGAAAAACACTTTTCCGTTGAATTTCAATGGGCATTTCAACTAGCAATCTTTAGATGAATCATCGGAAGACTGGTTGTGAGGATCAGAGGTGGATTGATCTGGCTTAGGATCATGTTGATTAGTGAGCCTGGGTACAGCCAATGCCGAGTCTTAAGGCTCCTCCAAAAGAGAACCAACGAACTGGCATGTCATCTCTCTGTTCTGTTACGGGTAGCAGGAATCGTGGCCATTGTTACCAGTTTTTTTAGACACTGAATTTGACTGACGTGCAACTATTCTTGAGGAATTTTGCTTTATTGTTCGACAAATTGTACCAAATCGAATTTGTGTAAAGACATTCACCTTCAGGTTCCTCCTTGGTTCGGATTTCTTTGAATATCATGAAGTCTTGATGAGCTATCTTAGATGCAATGTACATGTCCTCTGGATCCACTGGCTCGAAGTCGGCCTCCCGATGCTGGATCTTCTCCAAGCAGTCCAGCCTTCGACATTAATAAAAGATTAGAACACACTGATATTTACGGGACGTGGTGATTTCATTGGCATAAATAAACAAAGAAGTGCATGCTAAGCAAACATGCTGCTAGAACCATTCCTAGCTGACGTATGAGAACGGTTTATTAGTTATGTCCAAAAAACCTTCATCCCGTAAAATCAATTAATGTATTTTTTTACATATACATATAGACATACGCACTTAGGTCCTCACAGAATGAGCCTATGTGTCGTATGATAATGACAAATATCTTCGTCTTTGAAGTTGATACAATCACGATACTGGGCACATGGTAGTTAGTTGAGGCACTAGGCTACAAGCCGGAATGTCGCAGGTTCGATTCCGGATAAGATTATTAGATTTTTCAAGTGACTTAATCCTTCCAGCCGCAACATGGCCCTGGGGCAGACTCAGCATCTAGTAGAAATTAGTACCAAAAATTTTCCTTGTGTTAAAGGGCGGCCGACGTGTAAGGCTGACAACCTCACCGCCATCTGCGAGCCGATTGTCTATAAAATGTGGCAACCTCGATGTCTCACAACCCTATGGCCCTCCATGGTCAGTTACAAGGAGAGCTTTACCTTCAAAATCACGAAACCAAAGATATATTAGGTATAGGTAAAAGGTGAAGCTGTCCCCGTGCTTAATTAATTAAGCATCACGCCATGAAGACGTATGGGGAAGTAGAGGCATACTCCACCGTTCTTTACCTCGGTACTAGATGGAGGTGAATTGTCACCTTCACACAATGGCCGTTTTAACCCCAGAGAAGGAGCCCACGGTACCGACTGGCTACGAAGCTGGGTGGTCCCTAGAGCCGGTCTAGACGCTGTGGAATAGAAAGATCCCTTATCAAAGCAAGGAATCGAACCCTGGCTGTCCAGCCCGTAGCCCATCGCTATACCGACTGAGCTCTCTCGGCTTAAAGAAAACCCAGGGCAGTATCCAAATATTTCAAAGTTGGAGACAACTAAATAATCCTAACAGCAATCGTAAAGTAATAGTCAACAGAAATAACAAGGCAAATTAAACACACAGGTCCGTGCCGATGCTATTCTGGCACAACAGGAAATGTGTGAGTCACTGCAGTTGAATATAAGAGGCAAAATTACCATAAACCTGAACAACAAGGTGAGTACATTATATCATTGTTAATGCAAATCATGAAAACACTTCTCAGTACAACGAGAAGGCACCAAGGCCGAACCATTCAAGATGAAAAGTTTATATCTGTAAACAAATGCAAATACGCACATTCGTGGTCTGGATTTGAGGTTCTTCCAGCGGTGGCTATGAAGATTTGTATCTTTTAGGATATAACTCCATGCAAGTTATACAAGAAAACATAACTCCCCATATTTATTAGGTTAATTGGACGTTATGAAGGTTTGCTGGACATTATGAAAACTGAAGCCACACAGCAGGATGGGAATTGAAGAACTTGTCAGATGTTTTAATCCTTTGTATGGTACACTCGAGATATATCGTTTGGAAATATTAACTTTAATATCATATAATTTTCGACGAAATCCGTAATTGAGCCATCTACTAGCGTTTCTCAAAAGCTAATGTTATTTGTACCTTCTCAGCAGCCGAAAGTATACGTATTATAATGAAAATATGCTTAAAGTAAGTAAAGCTATCCCTGTAACAGGCCGTGAAGGCCCATAGGGTTGTGAGACGTTGACGGTCCCACATTATCTAGACAATCGGCTCAAAGATGGCGGTAAGGTTGTCAGCCTTACGCGCCGGCCGCGCTTTACTCCCCAGGAAAATTATTTAATTAACTCCTGGTACTCATTTCTGTTAGAGGCTGAGTCAACCCCAGGGCCATAGTGCGACCGGAAGGATTAGGCCAATTGGAAAAAATCCAACGACCTCACGCTACCGCGTGCACCCCATGGAAATATACTTACAAAAGAATTATTTTCTTAATCTCAGAACTAGGCGGTGGCTGCCAACAGAAAAAAAAAATGAACTTACCTGTCGCGAGCGGCGACGCAGGTCATGTGAAGTTCGCTTTCAGACGCCATAGTCTGACAAGCCCCCAGGGCATCTTTCGGTACACAAATTTTGTCTGAAAAAGAAGATTTAACATTTTTTGCTATATACTTAACAGTCTCAGTATTGAATTACGCGTAATGCTTGTTCGTTGAAAGACATGCTTCTTGTTTTCTGTGCTTAACAACGAACTTAATTCACTCGATATACTAATCAGACCACAGGCCGCACAACTTGGTTTCGATTCCCGAGAGGGGCGGAAATTAATTTCTTCGCCACTAGTCCAGACCTGCTCTGAGGTTCCTGTCCAGTTGTTACAAGGGAGTTCTACCCCGGGGGTAAAGCGGCTGGACCGTGAAGCGGACCACTCGCTTCCATTTAATTCCGAGGGTAAGAATGCGTCTTCAATACGTGGTGCTTAATTAAGTACACGAACAATTTTACTTCTGCAATGACATTTCTGTATCGTCTGCCTATCCAAACCAACAGCTCGACGCCAACAGAAAAATTTCCGTATAGTACTGCAAGAAGGTCATCATACTGTAGCGTTTAGATCCGTTACTAAGTACCGATCGCAAACAAACAGGTTCCTACGGCAATAGCCCAACACGCAACAACAGAGGAATTGACGGAAACGATGTTTTCTGTGGTACGCGCCGTGACCGTTGCTGTGCAACGGGGCATTAAACACTCCTCTATGACAGAAGAGCTGATTTCTACAAGGTCCGTGCCGAAGGGTTATCAATGGGACAAGTTTACAGCTACCAGCTACTAACAGCAACAGCTCACAACAATTGAACACCAGCAGTTATCTGACTCACAAAACCACTCACTCACTAACCAACCCTGACTCCTAACTTATCCTGCTTATAACACCTCGGCATGACCGCACAGGAAACAGGTTGCTTTTTACGGGCTGCTGCCTAGTAACGGCCATTGTATAGTCTCTTATTTCGCTGTCGTTGCCTAGTAACGGGTCTATATGCCATAATATTGTACGATAGTGTACGAAACTTTCCAACTGAACGCTTTTTTCCTTCCTCTTCGCTTCCACTTTGGAAAATAGGGCTGATTTATCAGTTTCATTGATCAGTTTAGCTCAGTTGTAGGATATCTGCCAGACGGTTAGGATGGAAGCAGTCGAATAGTCACTGGTACAAGCCGTTACCAGGAATCGTCTAGTGAAGACATGGCTAACTGGAAAACACTAGAGTGTGCTGTAGTGATTTGCAAAGCGTGGAACTCAGCGAAAGTGTTATGGCTATTTGTAGTTACAACCTGTAAGGTAAAGGTAAAGCTATCACTGTCACAGGTCGTAGAGGCCCATAGGGTTGTGAGACGTAGAAGCTCCCACATTTTCTGGAAAATCGGTTCACAGATGGCGGTGAGGTTGTCAGCCTTACGCGTCGGCTGCTCTTTACCTCACCAGGAAGATTCCTGGTACTCATTTCTGTTAGAGGCTGAGTCGACGCCAGGGTCATAGTACGGCTGGAAGGATTGGGTCGATTGAAAAATCCAATGACCTCATCGGGAATCGAACCCGCGACCTTCCGATTTGTAGCACAGTACCTCAACCAACTACGCTAACACGACCTGTAAATGGTCAATAAATCAAATTATCCAAAACCCCGTCTACTATCACTCATACTGCGTGACAGTATCAATATTCTGTTCTTCTGTTTCTCCTGGATTATTTAACGACGCTTTCTCTATCGAGGTTGCATGGCGTCGAATTGGAATTAAGTAGTCGTGGCCTACTCGAGGTACTATCGCAATATTTACCTGGAGAGACTGAGCAAATCGAAGAGAAGCTCCAGTCAGTTTAACCGGTATCCCGGTAGAGATTCGAACCGAGAACCTCCCGAATACAACTCTAGACCGACCTGGCTGGTAATATTATGTTGAAAACCGCCCATTCCTGACTAATATATTTCGCACAACTAGGTCATGACATAGCTCAAACAGTAAGTCGGCGGCTTCCAACCGCGGCGGCCCGGGTTCAGTCCCAAGTCATGTCATGTGGGATGTGTTGGGCAAAGTAGCAATGAGGCGGATTTTCTCTCCGAGTACTTTAGTTTCTCCTGCCAACTCTCATTCTACCACCTGCTCCACATTCATTAATTATCCTAAAAAGAAACTTGCATCAAATTAAGTTTTGTAACTCGCTGACTACCTTTACACTGACAGATTTGTGTTACGTTTCACTTTATGATTAATGGCGCGGTTCATCAGAGTCCTAGCCCAGTGTTCAAAAAGTCCCGACATCGACCCGAACTACTGCCACTGAACTCAAAAAATGAAAGTCAGTGTGGTCTAGTGACCAGATCCAGAAATCCCGGGTTGGATTCCCGGCGTTATCAGATTTTCTGAGAGGTAGTGGGTCTGCAACGGGGTGCACTCAGCCTCGTGATGATAATTGAGGAGCTACTTGAATGGAAAAGTAGCGGCTCCGGTCTAGAAAACCGAGAATAACACCCATGGTGATTCGTTGCGCTGACCACGCGACACCCGCTATCCGCTAAACTGGCACTAACTTCGCCGACAAGCGACGGTCGCTCGTCCGGTACAGTTCTCTTGCGGACTAAAGCCACGGAGTTGTTTTTTTTAATAATGGAAACCAGTCCTCGGAAGACATGAGAACTCTTTACTACCGAAATGTTGTGTCTAATCACATACTGGTAACTCCTACAATGAATGGCCAATCCAAAAAGTTCTGTCTTCTGGGATATAACGCCTGTAGTCCGTTGAAAGTCAACCAACGTTTCGGAGGAACATGTCGCCTCCATCTTCAGGGTCGAATATCCAAGCAAGAAATCAGCAAGCTGAGCTACTTCCTGCTACCTGCTTCATGCTGGTTTCTTGCTTGGTGTATTATTCCAACCTGAAAATGGAGGTGACATTTCTTTCCGAAATGTCTGCTGACTTTCAGTGGACAACACGGCGTTATATATATAAAACCACCACTTCTGAGAACCTCAGATCCTACATAGTGACCAATACATTTGTGTAATGTAATTTATCGGGCTAGTTCGATCTGACGGATGCTTATATGTGACTCAGACTTGCTAACTCGAGTCCGACTTCACAGAACTTATGGAATTGTATTCTTCTGGCCCTTCATGCTAGTCATAACCCAGTTCCAGGGGCTGGTTCACTTTACCTACGAAATGAAGGGGCGGGACGTTCGAATTTAACGCCAGAACAAGTTCTGTGCGACTTCCCGCACGCATACAGATCGAAATGCAAGTTCTTCACTCGGCTACGGCCTAAAAACAGGCAGACTTTTCCTGAAGCAATCAGGTGCAGAATATGTTCATAAATTGCTGAATTCATATGGAGAAGCGAGTGAATGGACGTAAATGTGAAGTTATCCCACGCCATGAAGACTTACAAGAGAGCGGCTTCGGCACTAGATGGAGGGAAGTGGTCAGCTTCACGTCCTGACCGCTTTACCCCCAGAAAAGAGAATCCTTCGGATAGGAAGCTGGATGGGCCCGACAGCAGGTCTGGACGCTGTAAAGAAAAGCCTCTTTCCTCTGCTGCTATCGAGGCTCTGTATCTGATTATAGGTAGTATAATGAAGTGCGGGCATGGAGGTATATAAGTTTCGAGTTTCTGTAAACTATTAAATTAAAGGGAGCACTTAGTTGAGCAGCTGGTCAAGAAGGATCCAGCACTTTATAGAATCAGAAGATACATTAGCGTGTTTACAATAGCCCGCCCACCGATTCCTACTCTGAGCCAGATGAATCCATTCACAACCTCCCATCGCAATAATTAAAGTCACATTTTAATACTGTTCTGGTCTTGCCTAGGTGTTCTCCAATTTTTCCTTAATAAAACTTTGCAAATATTTCTCTTTTCACTATGCGTGCTACATGCCACTCCCACCACACACCCCTTTCATCTAATCATCATAATAAATGGCCAGGTGTTACAAGGACTAAATTATGAAGTTCCTCGTTATGCAATTATCTTTAACCTCCTGTCACCAAATCCTTCTTAGATTTAGATATTCCCCTCATCACCCAAAACACCCTCAGTCTTAAGTTACTCTTTAAGTCGTATTAATGTTACAGTCAACAGGGCGTACATCGCACCGATATTTTTGAGACAGTTCATAAGTTAATTTCGCCCAACCAAAAAGCTGATACTTACATGTGCTGTGATGACGGGATGCCGGCTCCTCTGGGGTGGGCATCGAGAGGACGGCCGGAAGAAGCAGAAACGCGAGAACCTTCATCTTGCAGACTGCGCAGAGATCGACCTGCCTGCGCGGTTATATAGATGTACAGCGTTTTGTACTACTCGCGTCACAAACATTAACCTCTACACAACCCTAATCACCTCTGACCTTCTGAACTTGGAAGAGCCAGTAATTATACAGTGGAATTACCCATAAATGTCTCTACAATAGTTCCTCTGAAATCTGTATGAAATGTGTGCTTATATATAAAAGGATATTAATCTTTATAGTCGAGATTAGGAAGACCCGTGAAGCGCCTATTAAGATTGGTTAGTTAATCCGTTCGTGCATATGGAAAAATTGAAGAACATCTGTACGAATTGCAATAAGAATTGACGTCTGAGATGTTGGCGAAAAATTGTCAATGTGCTCATTTCTGTTAGAGGCTGAGTCGAACCCAGGGCCATAGTGCGGCTGGAAGGATTAGGTCAATTGAGAAATCTAATGACCTCATCAGGAACGGAACCCGCGACCTACCGGCTTGTAGCACGATGCCTCAATATACTACGCAACCACGTGCACACAACAGTAATCAGCTGCATGTTAATTTAATGTCTGTTTGTTGTAATGTAGCCAGCGCAATGCCTGCTGAGGACTCAGCAGCAACTCCCATCATTTGTTGTATAAATTATCGTACTATGAACTTCCCATATTTTATCCAGGCATTCCTTTCCAGTCCTGCACACTATCGAATGATATCGACGCTGGCACATCCCACGAATAACACGTACAAATTTTCAATAGTAAACTGTCTCATTTATACAGTATGTTACACTTCATATATGTAAATCAAAATATTATTTATACGCACCAAATAGACACGATACACTAAAAAATAAAGTTCGCTTATTCATGGCGTATTACGTAATTTACTAAGCGACGCGTTGGCTTTCGAAAATATATTACTATAGTAAGTCAAAATTGCGTAATGGCAATGTTACAGCACACGCTTACAAAATTATATATATATATATATATATATGATAGTTCAACAGGGCCTTAATGATTGGTGATTGAATTTAATATTCCTGTTATGTTTATGCTGTATACTTTTACAAGCTTCCTTATTCTTCATACAGGTTACCCTTTAACGTACATAGCAATGACTCAAAACGAAACTGTTTTACATCTGACGTCCAAATATCGGTGTAGTGAAACAGAGCAACATTTGTGCGGAGTTCCACCGATAGGTGTTAGCACTTTATTGGAGAAATCCGCGGTCGGGTTTTAATCTTTAAGTGTAGGCGGAACAACGGCAAAAGCAAGCATAAATATATATGGCCGCGCCATAGCTCAAGCGGTTAGTCGCTGGCTTCCCACCGTGGAGGCCCGGGTTCGATCCCGGGGTCTGGTCAAGTGGGATTTGTGGTGGTCAAAGTGGCGCTGGGGCAGGTTTTCTCCGAGTACTTCGGTTTCCCCTGCCAAACTTCATTCCACCAATTGCCCCACAATCACCCTCACCTATCATCTGGGACTGGTACAATACGCCAGAAGTGGCCGCAGTACAAGGGACTTAGTCCCACCCCACTAGCAATAAAAAAAGAAAGCATAAATATAAATGACAAGTCAGTTTTAAGAAAGGAGCATTGCGTATATTTCTACAATCGAGTTAAATCAGTTAACTAGAAGTTAAACAAAACGGTATTACCTCATTAGTTGCCGGTCACGGTAGCCGAGCAGTCTAAGGCATGCACTATCTTCGCTCGCTCGGAAGCCGGGATCGTGGGTTTGAATCCCACTCAGGGCATGGATGGCTGTGTGCGCGTTTTTCTGTGTTTGTCTACAGGTAGAGGCCTTGCGACGAGCTGATCACTCGCTTAAGGAGTCCTACCGAATGTGTAAGATCTAGTAAACCGAAGTGAAACGGAGAGTTTCCTGGAGGTAGGCCTAGGCCCACTGGGGCTGTAGCGCCACAGGAAAAAAATTACCTAATTAGTACGGCACCGGTGACAGCCAATTTGAGTAAGTCTTCCTCTGAAGAGAAGGGCACGCAGTAGCTTAGTTGAGGCACTATGCTACAAGCAGGAATATCGCTGTAAGTAGATGTATCATTGTGACTGATGGTTTTCATGATTTTTGCTTGTGGTGGATAAAGAGATATTAGGTTGGGGTTTCCCCTGCCGATTCTCATTCCGTCCGCTGCTCCACATTCATTAATCATACTACCATCAAAAGCCATGCAGTCTCGTTACTGGCAGCGTACTTGAATAACAGACTAAAAGTATTTTGTGGTTTTCCTCGTTCCCTCAATCTTTGGTGCATATGATTCCTAAGAATTCAGTTTTCTCTATTATGGCTTCATCATAATAGATGTAAAATGTATAAACAGCAGTGACATTTTCACTTTCCGTTGGAAAGCGTTACGTAAGTCAGACGTTTCCGTTACAATACTCTCTCTACGCCATGTAAGTCGTGTGCAACTATTCTATTTATAAAATGTACGACGGACGATGTCCAGAAACAAAAGATTTATATTAGACTTTATTTCAGAATCTGTTACTATCATTTCTGTTTTAGAAATCAATAAAGATTAATATTCATATAACATTTTATTGGACTTGAAATGACGCGAGTGACGACTGCCTGTGTTTATTTCCAATCGTTCCAAGACACCGGACTTTGTTTCCTTGGAAGGTACGCAAAAATGGGCTTGTGTTTAACAGATTTCATTAGCCACAGCCTTGAAACCGAAGGCAGACCTGTTCTGTAGCAATGATTCTGTTTTAAAATTGTGACTTAAATCATGTAATCAAATGTTTATCAGCAATGTGTCATTGAATTATATTGTTATGATATGGGGAGAGTAACTAGCAATCGCACCTTAAGCATTGTGACCTCAACTTGGTCCATTGTCCGTCCTCGGTGTTGCTCGGGACCTTTAGGGGCCTAAACCTTCCATACTGAGGACACTGAAGTAATGTCATTTTATTTTGGGCTACTGGCAGCAGGGTATCGCAAAAACCATCTATCATTCATCGACAGGGACATCAGAGCCCCCACCACTGATCCCAGCTGGGCCTGAAAGCGAGCCCACCCCGAGACCTCACTCCCCGTAGATGAGACTTCTTTTTGACCGGCCTCTTGTGCTGATCAGCCATTTCATCTTAATGGACAGACCATTCACCCCATACCGTACACCATATGAAAGGTAAAAGAAGTAAAGTCATTCCTGAACTTAATTAATTACAATCTTAATTATGTGCATCCTGTTGTGTGTCTTTAATAAGATATATAAGTTATATAGAATGTACCGTTTACACAACAGCAATCAGTATTCAAAACAAAGAAGATACTACTGCATCAACATTTGCTTTTATTAGGTTTATTAAAGGCGCAGCATGTTTCGACCCTTTCACGGGTCATCTTCAGGCGTACAATGTACCGGTCTGAGCTGCTGAGTTGCAATCAATTGTCATTTTATTCAAGACACAATAAGGATCCTTATTCGATGAATAAATGACAATTGATTGCAACTTAACAGCTCAGACTGGTACATTGTACGCCTGAAGATGACCCATGAAAGGGTCGAAACGTTTTAGTCTATAATAAACCTAACAAAAGCAAATGTTGATGCAATAGTATCTTCTTTGTTTTGAATACTGATTGTTGTTGTGTAAACGGTACATTCTATAACTTATATATCTTATTAATTAATTACGGATCACGCCATGAAGACGTACTGGGACTGGAGGGATAGCTCCACCGTTCTTAACCTCGGCACTAGATCGAGGTGAGTGGTCAGCTTCACACACCTGCCGCTTTACCCCGAGGAAACAGCCACAGATGCCCACTGTATAGGTGGTCTGGTGGGCTCCAGAGCCGGTCTGGACTTTACGGAGAAGAGAAAAATTCCTTGTTCCCGTTTATGGGAATTGGCCGTTCAGCCCGTAACCTAGCCGCTATTTAAAGAGTCCTGTTCTATTGCCTTCACCTAAAAAAACTTCAAACGGTAGCCATGATAGTATCCTCAAGGAGATAGATACAATTAAAAATATGAATTCGAAAAGAAAACCATTGATCCAATTATGGGAGTATTTTCTTTGGACACTGATCTTTCTTTGGATACAAGCGAAGGGTTCGTACTGTGTGGGCTCCTCAGAACCGCATTACACTGATATCATTTTTCTACGGGGACTTTTGTGAATACAGAAACTGCTCGGTTGTCCAGCCCCTTGCCAGTCGCTATACCAACTCCGACTGCTGTAACAAAACTGAAATCTAGATCAGTGTTTTCGTGTAGACAGTACGTGAATATTATTGTTACGTTTTCCTCATGGCAGTTCTTGGAATGGAGCGACGGATAACGAGGTCGCGTGGAATCGCACATGTAGCTACTTGTATGCTGATCAGATGGTGTTTATCTCTTCTGGACTCCTCGGTGCTTCCCCTCTGACGGCCTCCATTTTTCAGACACACCGTTCAAGGAGAGAGGAAAGTTGCGGAGGTCCAGGCGAGGCTCACCCTAAGTAACTGACATCATTGCTTATCTTTTGGGAGCTAAATAACAACAACATAATAATAATTCAATTCTGTATTAATCACGTGCCTAGTCAACAACTACATGGCAAATTACAGACGCAGCACACTGTAGATACAGGTAATTACATTATGGGCAAACACGACATCGAAGACAAATTACAGGCAAGCACTGGAGGAAACAACAGATTAATACAGAAAGTAAAGAAAGAAAGAAGGAGAGAAACGAATGAAGATGGGGAGTGGTAGCAAGAACATGATAACTAAGAACTACATACATAACACAGTACATTAGGAGTATGAACAAATATTATTAACAATTTTAGGTTATAATAATAATAATAATAATAATAACAACAACAATAAGGAACGTGATCAATCAAGTAGGCTGATAACGTTTTTTGACTTGTATGTGGGAGACAACCGGTTCGAATCTCGGCCGGACCACCGGCTTTTCTGACTGATATTCTTCGTGGTTTTCTTCAGTCCCTCGAGGAAAATGCTGGAATAGTACCTGTAACGATTTGTTCTGCGTCCCTTGTAGTTGAT